TGCATACTACCCTTTAGGGCTAAGCCCCAGGTGTTTCAAATGTCTGGCTCCGCCTCTGATCCCAGGAATGCTGTCTGTCCTGGAAGAACCAGTTGGTGAGGCGTGAGAAGCGTGAGGCGTGAGAAGAGCAACAAAAGAACTTGAAATCTGAAATCGTTAGGAAGCCTCTGAAAAAGGAGTGCACAGATCCTTATGATATGGACAATGTTCAAAATTAAAAACAAAAAACAAAAACAGGATTGCTTGTAGAACCAAATATGGATCTTAAAAAGATTCTCAACAATTAAATTGTTGAATCAGTGTCTAAACAGTGCCTGCTGCCTGGCAGTTCCTTATTAAAAATCCTTTGTCCACTATATCCTCTATCCCTCCTCTGAACATGTCCAAACCTATCTCAGACTTTCCTCTTTAACTTTGTCTCTAAACTGCCCAACTTGAGCTTGTACTCATTTCTAATCTTGTCCATTTTGGTCACTGCATCAGCTTCAATTCTTACTACTGTCTTTTTGTCAGTACCACCAAACCAGACATTATAGCATGTCTTTGTAACCTGTGATCTATGTAACGCCAAGCATTCAGTGGATTGCAAGAAAATTAGAGACTTATTACCTTGTAATAGATCATCAAATAACCAAGAATTGAATATGTAATCATAGCTACTATATATTTGTTTGTTATTTGTTGTTTTTTGCTGCCTACTTTTTAGTTTTTGTTTCTCTTAATGTACCCTTGACAGTCACACCTGCACACATACACAGGACAAGTGCAAAGCAAATCAAAAAACATATTTGTAGACAGGAATGCTGTGAGTGAATGAAGAGCAGCAGAAAGAACTGCAGGGAAGACTGTGAGTCAACCATGAGTCACTGAATAAGATATTGTCATGAGCAGAGGCGAGGACATAATGATAGAGTAACAAGCTAAAATGCTCTGGAATGCCAAAGGCACTGAAGTAATAATCACTGTTGGTTCATCATTAAGAACGATCCCTTTAAAAACTGTCCTTTTTTTCATACTATAATTTCATATCTTGATGTAAAGATAGGGGTCATATGATTGTTGGGCTTTTCTCTCTGTATCTATGAAGCGCCTTGAGGCGACATTTGTTGTGATTTGGCGCTATATAAATGAAATTGAATTGAATTTTATTATTTGCTTCGAG